AAGTAAGGAACTGCTTATGAGGTTTTCCGTCCATTCCAACAACTAAGAAATAGTGAGAAGAGTTGGGACCTCAGAAGGCTTTTAGGACCAATTAGGTTGTAATCTTTAGGGAAGCAAATAAAGATTCAACAGAGCTACAAGGTGGGTTTGAACCACCAAGCAGATCACAAAGACAGAATGTTATTAACTGTTGTTGTTATGTGCTATCAAGGTTACCACAACTCATAGCAACCCTATGAACAACAGCTCTATACTCTGCTCTATCCTGTGCCATCCCCATTTCTCACATATTCAAGCCCATTGTTACAATCTCTGTGCCAGTCTGTCTTATTGAGGGCCTTTCTCTACACTGACTCTCCACTTTTCCGAGCATGATGTCCTTTCCCAAGGACTGGTCCCTCCCAACAACACGTCCATAGCACGTGAGATGAAGCTTCACCATCCTTGCCTCCCAGGAGCATCCTGGTTTCACTAGTCTGTAGTGAATGGGAGCCCTGGTTGCACAGTGGTTAAAGTACTCAACTACTAACAGAAAAGTCAGTTACTTGAACCCACCAGCGACCCCGCGGAAATAAAGATGAGGCACTCTGCTTCTGTAGAGATTGCTGTTGTTAGGCGCTGTCAAGTAGACGACCTCTTACAGCAACCTTGCAAACAGCAGATCTAAGCTTTGTCCTATCTGGCACCATCCTCAGAATCCCCATCGTGCTCAAACCCATTACTGCAGTCATCGTGTCAATCAATCCTGTTGAGTCTTCCTTCCTTTCATTGGCCCTCTGTCTTTCCCAGCACCATGTCTTCTTCCAAGGACTGACCTCTCCTGACAACACGCTCTCAGTGTGTGAGATGATGTTTCCCCATCCTTGCCCCCAAGGACAACTCTGGTTGTACCTCCTCTAAGACAGAGGTGTTTGTTCTATTGGCGCTGCTAGTCCGTATATTCCGTCCTCGTTCCCACACCATGATTAAGTGGCATGAACTGTGTGATTCTTCTTTGGTCTTCCTTATTCACTGTCCAACTTTCAGATGCATAAGCAGCAGTTGAAAGTACCATGGCTTGCATTAGGTGCACTTCAGTCTTTAAACTGACATCCTTGGACCTTGGATTGGTCCTTGACAGCAAATTTCCCCAATGTAATTCGCCTTTTGGTTTCTTGACTTCTGTTACCATGAGTTTTGATTGTTGATCCAGGTAAAATGAAACAGTTGGCACCTTGAATCTGTTATCCATCTATTACGATATTGCCTATTGATCCACGGTGAGGATTGTCTTGATCTCTGAAAACCTTCTGGGGCAGTTCTTGTCTGTCTTAAGAGGTCACTATAAGGAATCAAATGGACAGCAATACATTTGTCTGAGGTTTTTGTTTAAGCAAATGAAAATCTGGGCAGCTTGATTTGTTCTCTGAAAGGTCATTTATCAACTCAGAGAAATCAAGTGGAAAGAGGGTCACAACCCTGAGTGAGCCTTGAGGGCCAGCCTGGGCTCCCCAGTGACAGTCTTTGGTTGGGTAGGGAGGACATGCCAGGAGGAGTGGTGCTGATCACGGGACCCTTTGAGCATCTGGGGCCTTAGTGCCCTTTGAGGTTCTCGTGTAACACTCTCGTGTCTGTCCAGCTTGGCTGTGGCACGTTGACATGCGCTGACTCCACTCTGCAGCCAGCACGTGGAGATGTGTGTGCTGGACCCTCCTACAATGCCCCTCCAGCTCCTTCTGTAACTTCAGGCTCAAGACCACTTTACTGTCACCCAGCACATCCCCTAAGGGAACTGGAAAATCAAAATAAGTCAACCCGTTTCCATCAAGCCAAATCCAGTTCATGGCAACGCCATGCAAGCCGACTAGAACTGTGGCCCATCAAGTGTTCAATGGCAGCGGTGATTCAGAAGTTGTTTGCCAGCATTTACCTCCTGGGTACTTCTGGGTGGGTTCCAACTGTTAATCCTTCAGTTAGTGGTTGAGCATTTAACCCAAGGTCTCCCTTCAGAATCAGAAAGGAGTGAAAAAAAACACCTACACCAGTGATTTTTGAAACTTTTAAAATCATGGAACATTTTCCTTAAGCAAAAGTTTACACTGAGGGCCAATATGTCAAACAAGAAAGGAAGTTGGACTGGCTGCAATGCCCAAGACTCCCTCCCAAATGCACTCGGACCACCGAGTCAGTCCCTGAAACATCCCTTTGTCCCCCAGGCTCCTAGGGAGCTTGGGGTAAAAACCACTAGTCCAGTCAACAGCCTCGTTGACAGAGGAGGAAACTGAGAAAAGGAATCATATAATGGTCATAGGCAGAAGTGGTTCTGTGGTATAATTCTCACTCTCCGTGAGGGATATCCAGGCCTCCCAGGATTCCCGGTCAATGGGCCTCATGAACCCCGTCATCTGTCTGTTAGAGGAGGCTTTTGTGTTGCTATGATGGTGAACTGGTTTCAGCAGAGCTTCCCGACTCAGATGGGCAAGGAAGAAAGCCTGGAAATCTACTTCTGAAAACCTTGTGGATGACAGTTGTCCCATCCAAGGTTGATCATGGACAATGCAGGATGGTGAAACATCTCATTTCCTGGGGTCATGCTGGAGTTTCTGTGAGTTCGAAGCTGACTCCACAGCAAAGGGGTCATGGGCGCCAGGCAATCAAGGCAAGAATAGGTTGGAATTGGAGTGACTCCCAGAAAAGGGACTTGGTGTATCTTTCTTCCCCTGCAGGGCATGGAGCCAATGGAAACACAGACAGGATAGGGTTGGGGTGAGAATGAGGCTGAGAGAGGCTGGTTCTACATTCCCAAGTGACATGCTTTCCAATCTCAGTGATTTCTTCCAAAGATCCCGCCCATCTGCCGTATTCTTTCCCGGGAAAACATAGCTTGTGTGACCTTGGCCAAGTCTCCTGGCTTCTCTACCCCTGCAGCTCAGGATGGCCCGTGGCGCGTGCTGCCTGGAACACTGTGTGCTCGCTGATCTTCACTCCCCAATTGAAAGCCCTCCTTATCCGGCCCTCTGGATGGGGCTGAAGAGAAGGAGGGAGAGTGATTGTGATTGCCCGTGAAGGATGAGGCGAAAGAGGGCCTGGGAAGAGCCTGGGTTGCAGGGCCAGTGGGAAAGCAAGGGGGCATCTCAGCCTCTCTCCCCACTTTCTTCTCAGGAGGACCCTACCACCCTGCCGAGTGCTGCCTCACCTACGTTCCTCATGCCATCCCGCTGGACCGGATTTTAGATTATTATGAGACCAGCAGCCAGTGCTCCAAGGCTGGAGTTGTGTAGGTGGCATCCAGTCCCCTCTGGGCCTGAGGGGAAGCGGGTAGAGACACTCAGAGAGTCTCCCCAGGGCACCTTCTGGTGTGTCCACACAGGATCTAGCTGCGGTGGGGTGGCCTAGGGGTTTCTGGCCTGTCTGGGACCTGCCAAGAGTCAGGCAATACTGGCCTTTTGGATCAAGAAGCATGCAGTGGCGGGGAGGGAAACTGTGGGGAGATGTTTCCTAAGAGGACTTGAGGGGCTGGGGCACAGAACTAGATAGGTCTCTGCTCCTGTGCAGAGCCTGGTCCTGAGCCATCTCTATGGGACAAATCAAGGGGGACTTTGGGAGGGAGGGAAGCCAGGTTCCCTCCTTCTCACTCTTGACTTCTCTTGTTCCACAGTTTCATTACCAAGAAGGGCCGTTCCATCTGTGCCAACCCCAGGGATGACTGGGTCCAGGACTACATCAAGGACCTGGAGGAGAGATGAGTGGAGATGTTGTGAAGACCACAGCTTAAAGAGAAGAACCCAATCCCCCATCCCACTTCCAGCTGGAAGCAGAGCCGGGAGCAGCTCTGCTTTGAAATAAAGACCATCTATGTCCTTCCCTTCATTCATTCATTCATTTCTTCAGGCCTTGCAGCTCTCCAGTGGCCTGAAGGCACAGGTGGGCTCAGCCTGGACTTGAGATCAATCCTCACACTGTAGAAATGTTCACCAAACCACGTATTAAAAAAAAAGAGTTCAGGCCTGAGCTGGGGTTAGTGAAAAGTTGAGCAGAGATAGAAAAACAGCCTAAATGGAAAGACCACCTCTCGTAACAGCAGTAAGAGCAGATAACATTTTCCTAGCATTTTCCACATTCTGAACAAGCTACCCAGCAGTCTGTGTGCCTTATCATAGTTACTCAAGCCCATAACAAGCGTGAAAACCAGGAAATATGATTTTGCAGCCTTTCATATGTTGTTGTTGTTGTTGTTGTTGTTGTTGTTGTTGTTGTTGTTAGATGCCATCGAGTTGTAGAGGACTCATAGCGACCCTGTGAACAAAAGGCCTGAGCACTAGAGTTTCTGGAGGCAAGCCATTTCGAAAGTGGATGCCACTCCTGCTTCCAGGCTTGTTTTTTTTTTTTTTACTATGAAATTTTTGTTTATTCTTCCAAACGTCTTTTTTTTAATTATTAAATTTTATTAGTTTTAATGGGAAGCTCCAGCAAACACTGTCCATCATGGGTAAAATTCTCTCATTTTTTGTTGCTGGTTTGGTTTTTTTGGTTTTGTTTTGGGGTTTGTTTGTGTTTTTTTTTTTGGTCCTAATGCTTCTTCTAAAGCATTTGTTTCCTGCTATCAGGATTGCACATATTTTATGTAAGTCTGCCTCCTCCATGTGCACACATTAGGCTGTACTATATTGTTTTATTCCTCTTTGTTTTCCTCACAGGGCCTGGCAAACCCACTGGCCCATATTAGGTGTTCAGAAGATGGATGGATGGGTGGGTGGGTTGATGGGTGAATGGATGGATGGATCGATGGATAAATGAGTGGATTAAGGAATGGGATGGGATAGGTAGGTGGACAGGTCAGTGAATAGGTGGATGGAAAAAATAAGACAGGAACTGAGACTTATGTTCTCAGATAATATGTTGGACAAACTTCAACCAGAATGCTATTTGGAGGCAATGTTAAAACTTCTCACATATTTCGGACATGTTGTTAGGGGGGGCTATTCCTTAGAAAAGGACATAATGCTCGGAAAGTTAGAGGGTCAATGAAGGAGAGGAAGACTCTCAACGAGATGGATTGGTGCAGTTTCTATGGCAAAGGACTCGATGTGTTGGGGATGATAAAGATGGCACAGAAAAGGACAGTATTCAGACCTGTTATTCATGGGGTTGCCATGGGCCATACTCACATTGACAGGACCTTATAAAGACAATGTTCTCAGGATAATCAGCATCCTCGGAGTTTTCAAATCCATCATGTCTTCAGGGGAACAGCAGGCCCATGGCAGGTACTACACTAATGAGACCCTGGTCTTGATGGACAAGAATCTATATAACCAGACTTCCTCAACTCCACAGAGTGGTCAGATATCCCCAAAATGCACATTCACTGCCCTCAAACAAATCCACAGCTGCACCACCACTGACTCCTTTCAACCCACCACTTCTAATTACTTTATATGTGCAACTTATTTATGAACTCTGGTGGCATAGTACAGTTACCTGCTGCTCTGCTGATAGGCCAGAAGTTCAAATCCATTTTAAGGCAGAACAATGGGAAGTCCCCTTCCACATATATTTGTTGTTGTTGTTGTGTGCCGTCAATTCTACTATGACCCATGGTGACCTGATGAACAATCGTTCTGATCCTTGTCCTAATCTAAGCCAACCTCACCATCTCTGACACATTTTACTCCATTCCCACAGTCACCATGCCAATCTATCTCATTCAAGGTCTTCTTCTCCTGAGCTGACCCTCTACCCTTCCAAGCATGATATATTTCTCCAAGAACTGGTCCCTCCTGTCAACATGCTCAGAGTATGTGAGACAGAGTTTCAAAATCCTTGCCTCCAAGTAGCAACCTTGTTTTATTCTCTCTAGGACAGGCCTGTTTGTTCTCTTGACAGTCCATAGTATGTTCAGTACTCTTTCTTCTCCAGCACCAGAACACAAAGGCATCGATTCTTGTTCTATCAGCCTTAGTCATTGTCCAGGTGTCAGACATATAGCAAGTAATTGAGAAGACCTTGGCCTGAATCAGGCACACCTTAGTCTCTAAACTGATACCGTTGTTCTTTAGCACTCTAGAAAGGTCACTAACAGCAGATTTTCCCAAAGGAACTCATCTTTTGCTTTGCCGATTGATGATCCCAAAAGTGTTGATTATGGCTATGAGCAAGATGAGATTGTTAACTACCTCAATCTTTTCTATTCACAGGCTTGGAAATCTGATGCAGGGTCTCTGTGAGATTGGCTTTAAAAGTTCATATACATTTTATTTCAGTGTATCCTTCATTCACATGATGTTTCATACAATCATTCTCATGCATTAGTGTTTTGTTTTGCTTTGTTTTGTTTTTTGTAATTAATTTGTAATTTGGTTTTTGTTTTATTTTTTATTATTATTTATTTTAATGAAAATTTACAGAGACTTTGGATTTCCATTCCCTCACTCTTGCACTTTTCTCCCTACCCCACCCCGCCCCCTCAGTTTGCTCTTCTCTTTGAAAAGGAAAAGAAAAATTCTTTCCTTTTTATACAACCCCTCCTCCCAGGTCGACTCCACTATGCAGCCTTCGTTCTGGACTCCTGTCATGACAATAATACCTAATCACATATCCCTTTTAAACAGCTCTCCCCTCATCTGTTTCAATGGAGTATACATAATTTATTCCATCTTTCTCAGGCACCCACCAACCTCAATGCTAGTCACGTTTTATAATAGTGGCACTATGCAGTATTTGTCCTTTTGTGACTGAGATATTTCACTCGGCATAATATCCTCCAGGGTCAGTCATTTTGTATAATATTTCATTAGTTCCTTGTTTTTCAATGCAGTATAGTTTTCCATTGTGTGAATATACCACAGCTTCTCTATCCATTCGTTTGTTGATGGGCACTTAGTTTCCAACTCTTTGCTATTATGAACAAAGCCACAATAAACATGGGTGTGCTTTATGTTTTATAAAATTAATCACCACTGGACTATGCCCATCATTAGCCCGTTTTTTCAGGTCCCTACTGGATCTTTCTCATTTCCTTTACCCCTTCCCTCCACCCACCAAATTGTGCAAGCCCTCCTCACCCCTCTGGTCCCACCCCTTCCCGCTTGGGTCCTCATACATATTTTACTTTTTATCTTTGCTCTCAACTCTTGAAATGCTTCCCCTGTGACTCAGAAGCTCACAGGCCATCTCAGCACAAAATTCCCTTATGCCTTCAATCTCTTCTCTGGATGTTCTAACTTCTTGCTCACAGGAAAGCTCAGCTGTCTCCGTAGGACTTCTCAGCAGCCTTTCCAAGCCCTTTCTCCCTCAGCTCTTGTGCCCCTGGACTTGGCTCCTAGTTACTCTATCCCATTATGTAAAACAGACCTCATTTGTTCTTTATAGGAGTCTCTCGGACTGGGCCACCTGAGTTGCTATCTGGCTCAGAGGAGTGTGCTTTTTAAAAATTATTTTATATTGGTTTGCTTACAAAGTTCACATACATTATGTTTCACACTACCCTTCATTCACATTGTGTTTTTTTTTCATGTAATCATTCAGATTCATTATATTTTATACAATTAATCAACATTGAACCAGGCTCACCATTGTCCTGTTTCCAGCTCCCCATCAGATCTTATTCACTTCCTTTACCCACCCCTCCCTCAATCTATCAAATTGTGTGACCCTATGATTCCCCTCTGCCCATCCTCACCCCTCTTCTCCCCCCTTCCCCTCTTTGAATGAGAGGAGTGCTCTTAATCAAGACTGGGAGTGGGGATCAAAGGAAAATCTTAAAGACAAAGATTAAAGAAGGAAGTACAGTTGGCCAAGCAGAGAATGAAAACAAGGACATTTTAGGGAGAGAGAGAAAATGCATAATCACAACGCATAAGGGAGTGGTGAAAGAGAACGTGTGTTGGGGTATGGGGTGTGGTGTGTTATGGTGGGGACACAGGACACAAGAGAAGAGGCTGCATCGCTCATGAAGGAACCAGGCAAAGGATTCTGCATTTCCATCTGAACATGATAGCAGCAGAGTGAGCTCGTCAGATGAAGGTCATAGTGTTAAGGGGAAGATGGGCGGTCTCCTCCCATGCGATTTAGAGTCTCTGAAAACCCCCTGGAAGGTGGGATATGAGTTGGCTCCAACTCCATGGCTATTTATGCTGAGTTTCAGACAGAGATAAGGTGATGAGGTCTCTAATGTGTTGCTAACCGAAAGGCCACACATCTTGGGTGGCTCGAGTCCACCAGCTCCATAGGACAGTGATTCGCAGTCTTCCTCCCAGTAAGACTGGCGGCCTTGGAAACCAGAATCACTGAGTCAGAATCAACATGATGGCTGTGAGGCTGAGTGGACAAGGACGGGAGGAAGGGAGTGTACACGGATGCAGGAGACCAAATAGGTGGCTGTTCTGTAGTCTTGGCTCACAATCTGAATTGGCAACCAAAAGGTGGGGAAGAGACTTGGGCTCTGGCAGACTCTAGTTGTATATGGAGGAGAGAGAGTCAAAAGCAAGCATTTTCTTGCTGTCCCATCTCGCCGTCATCTCCAGCTCCCAAAGCCCAGCCCAATGCCCTCCAGAACTTGTGGCTCAGTAACAGCAGAATCCCACAGAGTCACGTTCTGCCTCGGGACCAGGTCCTCTTCTGCCCAATTCTAGCTGCCATTGAATCAATTTCAACTCAGGATGATCCCAGGCATATCTGAGTAAAACCATGTTCAGTGACTGAGTTTTTTAAGTAAATCACCAGGCCACCACTCAAGATTGCCTTA